GAGCCCACGTGATGGGGAATTTGGGTTCAATTAAACGCCAGTGGAAACTAACAGCGCAGTTTTGGACCTTCCCGGGGCCTAATCATTTTATGTCAGCCAGTAGTCAGTACAGAATAAGTGTTCTCAAAGGCTCCAGTAGACAATAATTACCAATTTAAGTTCCACTAGTTTTTGAGAGCCTTAGGTATGGCAAAAACTACATTTCCCAAAAACCTTAGCGAAAGTGAGTCTCACCTTGCGTAGTCACGTAGTCCTTCGCCGCATTGGGCAAAATAATCCCTTCATTTCTCTGAAAGTATCGGGTATAATATTTCACGTCTCTCCTCACCGGAACAATTCTAAATACCACCACGATAAGAGAGGTTACCTATCTGGAGGTGACTAAGTGATTAGGTAAAGAGTAAGAAAAGACACCAAAATTAAGTACTGCGGAGGAATTTCTGTCAAGCTGTGAGACGACGGAGTGAAGAGTGAAGGCGATTGAGAGGGGCTCAGGGAATTGTCCTCTGTGCAGGTGACTTTCATTAGTCCCCAGGCCCCTGCCTGCCCCTACCGTCAGCAGGTTAGTAAGCAAGACCATTATGGGGGTAACCACAATCTTCCCCCTTTGAAGATCATCCCTCTTTTGCTGCTGCTGTTATTGGTTTGTCTTGGTTTGAGGCCCACTGAATGGGGGCGCCTCACTTCCGGTTGGGGGAAGGGAGACATGCTGTCATAGGGGAGGGGGAATATAACTCACTTCCTGTGGGGTAGGATGATGTTTGGGGGGTGTCCAAGCCACTTCGTGTTGGTTTGTGCCATTCTCAAAGTCAGTTCCTGCTGCCTTGGGGGTTGTTTTCAGGTCACAAGTTCGGTTCTTCCCCCAAGTTGTTATAATCACCAGGCCACGGTCAGAATTTATGTATTTTGTCTTTATGTGTTATTTCTCCCCGGCAAGATTTTCTTTATGCTTTCTCCAAAGAATTCAAAACACCTTGTTAAAATTCTCTGCAAGACTACATATTTTGTTGTGTGACTCGTGTGGTGCCCGCTCTTGCACCCTAGTCAAATGTGTCCTTAACTGAGTGAAGTAGTGGGGTCGCTGCCTAGACATGGAAGCAGGAACTCTTTACCCACTCTTTTGAGGAGGTAGTTTATTAGTTAGAGGACCAAATGGTTCACATAAATTACGAGGCATTTTCATGTTTGCAAAGGGAGAGAATATCGTAGTGCAGTACTTAAATTTGATGTTACATTAATAGATGCAATCAGTATATTACATATGTAGACTTTAGGACTGGAGGATTTGCCCCATGCCTGAGAACAGCATTATCAACCTGAATATTGTTTTCATGTAGCTTATGTGTGGCATTTATGAAAGATGCATTTTATTGTGTTTTCCCCCCTTTGTAATTTAATCGAACTTGTCACTGATTTCAAACTGAGTTTTGTTTATGGTTTTAAGACATGGCACAAGGATGATGGGTTCAGCTCACATGTTGAGTAAGGGGGAAATAATTCACAAAGAACAAAAGGTGAATAAGACAGAACTTTCTGTTTTCCTATATTCTTTTTTCTTTTTTTATAAGAAACGGTATCTAAAGTGCAAATAAACAACAATTTTGATTCCTTGGCTTTTCTTGTCAAGCAACACAGCATATGAGTGTATTTTTGCTGGCAGAATCAGTCTATTTAAACTTCATTTTGTAAAATTCTCAACCTTCTTTTTTAAATTTGAGATATCTTGAACCTAAAATTATTTTGTCTTCCAATATTAACATGCATGTATTTCTAATTTAATTGCTTGCACTTAAGAGTAGAAAATATTTTAAACTAAACATGAAAATAATTTTTTACCTTAATATTGGCATAAAAATTAATTCTTAGTCCTAAAAACATATGTATGACACATATATGCACTCACAGAGGCTGTGGAAGCATGAGCACAGGTCTATACTAGATGGGGGCCTAGAGCTAAAAAGAGAAGTGGACACATGCCCCCATCCCTAATCCACAAGCTTTCTCCAATGGATAGCCACTTACAAATGAAAAATTAGTTGTCTCTAAAGGAGTTTCACTGGGGAAACCAACCACTCCTAAGGATAGTCTCCATGCCCAGCAGTACATGGCCAAAACAAAATGAACTCAATACATCTTTGTAGTTTCCGTGCTTTTTTTTTTCTTTATATCTTAGAGGTCCTTTGTGCATATGTTATGGCCAGTTTGGAGATTTTATGGGTTCCTGTGTCTGTGAATGTGTGTGTCTCTGCATCTATGAGTTTCTTGTCTTCCTCTCCTCTCTTTGGCTTCGTTTCTTATTTTGTCCTATTCTGATATGTTATTGTATTTTATTATTAAGGGGTTAAATTCGGATGGGAGGGGAGAAACTTGGGGGGGCACTAATCAAAAAAGATTTCTTGAAAAGCTATTTTCAATAAAAGAAGAAGCAAATTGTTCTTAGACTGGAAGTATAGCTAAATGATAGAGCATTTGCCTTCTGTATTTAATATGAGCCCCTGGATATGGGTTTCTATCACCAGTACTGACGGGCGAAAAAATAAAAATAAAATCAGCCTAGCCAGGTATGTTGGTGCATCCCCCTTAATCTCAGCACTCAGAGGAGGCAGAGGCAGACAGATCTCAGTGAGTTCCAGGCCTGCCAGACATACACAATGAGACCCTATCTCAAAAGTAAATAATAAATAAATCTGTCTGATGGGCTAGGGATGTGGCTGAGGGGTGGAGCACTTGCCTCATCTGAAAGGACTTCCATCCATTTCATCCCCAGAGCCACCCACCACCAACAAAAATTCTGAGGTGCTAAAATCAATAGGTAAAATACTACAAAATTTTTACAGTAGTTAATTTTTTAAAGATAAGGCAAAATATTGTCTATGGTTATTGATAGAAAGTTAGGGACATGTAGCACTGCATCAAGTGGATATTAATTGAATAGAGAGAAAGTATTCACTGTCTTCTAATGAATGTAATATACTAGATGTAACCACCCTAAAAAATTAAAGCATAGTGTTCAGAATTGAAATATGGAAGGATGATAGAGCTAAATGAGAATGAGAGAAAATAATGTCATGATAGTAGTTGAGGTACAGTACTGGTATTGCCTTTTGGGAACAGCTTTGGAAAGCATGGGAGTTTATTAAATTGATCCTGAAGATATTCATGGAAGACATGCAGTGTAATGGAAATAAGACAAATTGCAGTGGAGAGACTTGTGCAGCTTGAAGAACTGTCTATTGAGAAGAAAGCAATATAGAAAGTACATATCAGGAAGATGTTTTGTGATAAGTGACAGTTATTCATTGGTCCCATCAAAGAAGAATTATTAGATACGCTGGTGAAAAATAGAGAAGGAAGCCTGTGCAACCCAGTCCTCCTCCTTTTTAAGAAGTGTTTCTGTGGAAAGGTTTATCTTCTTCTCTTCCGAGGGATTGTCCCCCTTAATGCCTGGTGTTGCTCTTTTTTGTTTGTTTGTTTCTCACATGTTCCTAGTGTTAAAATTGGTAAAAGAAAAACCATTTGTAAGCATACTGTTGCTTCTTTAAGATAATAAGTTTTAGATTTTCATTTCACTACTTGCCACCTATGATACAGAAGTTGTTGATTATTTTTAGATTATTTGGAGTAAGTAGCCATTTTCTTTTCCTTAAAGCAGAGGTTGCATGTACTGCTCAGAGCAGTTTGAAACATTACAACAGTAAGCGAATGTTCTCAAGTCCATTGCACCGAAATTTGATCATCCACAGAGATGCTACATAATGCAAAGCCTCTTTTCAGCCTTTTGGTTACCCTGTCCTGTAAAACTGATGCTAATGTTTTATAATGGGCAGCTTTACTTGATACCTTGGTGTTTTTTTGTTTCTGCTTTGTAGTTGAGAGTTAAAGGGGACAGTCTAGCAGTTTAAATGGTTTTACATTTATTGCTTTGCTGTCTTTTATTTCTGAACTTTTGTATGTATTGAAATGAGAATTCCTTTTACATGGTTTCTCATAATTTCAACAAAACCTGAATACTGCTGTGTATCCGTCATGTTCTAATTTCAAGTACAGGAAATAACAATACCCATATTCTCTTGGAGCTTTCTTCCTAATTGATGGATCAAAGCTAGAGTTTTGCTTACTTGGTGTTCTTGGGTGAGATATATGTTATAACCACTGTTCAAGTTGGATTAAGATTCCTAAATTTGATATCTCTTGATCTTGATTTCTAAGTCATTCTAAAATTCATTTTTAATATTTCCTTTATTGTTGCATGTATCATGGTTTTTCTGTTTTAATTTGCTTTGTACTAAGTATGAGTGAACAGTAGGGAAAATTGGAGATCAGACTGGCCTAGATTCAGAGCTAGTCTTTGTATTTTATTAGCTTCATCACCTTGAGCAGTTAGCTTCCATGAAACCCAGTTTCCCTAATCTAAATAAGAAAGGGGTTATTACTGCTTGGTGTAGTCCTGGTGGTAAGAATTTGAGGAATGCGATTATTTAACCTAGTAGTTTTCAACTTTCCTAATGCTTTAACCTTTTAATAGAGATCTTCATATTGTGGTGACCCTGACCATAAAATTATTCTGTTGGTACATCATAACTGTAATTTTGCTACTCTTGCTCAGGATAGCTGATATGCGATCCCAGAGGGTTCAAGACCCACAGGTTCAGGACCTCTGCTTGAACCCTTAGGCCTGAGTCAGCTATGCTGTCTATTGGGATTCACCCATTTTTCTCTTTTAAGCTCACATATAGAATACAATGGTAGGTTCATTGACATTCTGCCTTCTGTCAGCATGCTCACTAAGTAGTCAAAGTTTTGTTTGTTTATTCTGAGAAGGAAAAATATCACTAATCTCAATTGTTTTACAAAATATACTTAATAGATAAGTTTCAAGAAAAAAGTTATGGAATCGCTAAAGTCCTTTAAATTGTTTTAGAAAGACTATCAATTTGTTTTCCCAAATACTAAGTAAGGCCCCTCATACTATGTCTTTCTTTACATTTGAAAGGGGATGATGTCTGAGGGGGGTAAATTCTTTAATATACCCAGCCTTTCTCAGTTTGCTCTTGTTGTACTCTCAGATACTTCCAGTTTTCCTGGGAATCCCCATGTAGTAAAGTCCTGCCCTGTGCTCTCTCTAAGTACCACCTTCAAGAAATATTTTCTGATATCTGTCCTTGTCTCCCTCTACTCCCAAATCATCTGTATTCTGTCTGTTGATCCTCCAGACTATTCTGTGCCTTTATTGTTGCACTTAATATCTACATTCCTGAAGTTTACTTTAGTTGTTATTATTATATAGAGAAAATGTCCTCCCAGAGAAGGCTGTATAGACTGTATCCTTTTCATGTCTGGGTTTGCTATCATACCTGTAATAATGTC